ACCAGGAGTGGTTCCGGACTGCGGGAACATAGTCGGTCTCGCCCGCGTCGTTGGTGGTGGGCTTGAGAAGGATGACTTCGATCTCAAAGCCGCAAGTGACCTCCACACCGTGCTCGCGCAAGTTGTTCGTGACCCGTTGCAAGGTTGTCCGAGGACAGCCGGGCAGTGGGGCGCCTTCTTCCGTCTTCCAGTAGGTCATCACGGTGGCACTCTTCGAGTCGATTCCGACATTGCGGCGAAGACTGGACAGGTCCGGCTCCATGTAGAACTGGCCTGTGACCGACCCTTCCGGCGCAATACTGTCATCTTGCAGCATCAGTTGGGTGCAGAGACAAATGCCAACCCGACGTTGCTTGCGCACGATCTTGGCAAACTCTGCGACGGGGAACATCCGAACTCGGGTGGTATTGGTGTAGTCAATGAATTGCATCCAGATATACTTGACATCGGGATTACCCCGCATGAATGCATCGAGAGTAACGGTCGACGAGGCGGGCACGGCGTTCGCCGAAACCGGTGCCTCATACGCGAGCTTCTCGTTCAAGCTGTACGCACGGTTGGAGTTGTGGAAGAGGATGTCAGCGGCCGCTTGTTTCGCCTGGTCGACCGTGAAATCGCCGTGGTGAACATAATCGACGAAGACCGTCTCCATCACATCGCGGAATTGCTTGTTAGCCAAGTAGAAGGTTTCCGGGAAGAAATGACCGTCGGTACTCCACAGCAAACGCGTGGTGGGCACGATGTCCAGACTTTCGCGCAGAATGGACTCCTGCGCATCGCGGCTTACCATGGGGAAAACCTCCCCCAGGTCCAGGTAGACATTGGGGTATACACACGCCAGATATCCGGCTTCCCGTGTGTACGGATACGACGAGTGCAGCAATACGAAATCTACTTCCGGGTACTGCGTGATTAATGACTGCAGGTGGGCCGGGTTGGCGAGCACGAGGTCGATGTCGTTATCGCCCAGTCCAGTGTGCAACTGCAATGGTTTGTTGGGGGCGGATGCGCTGGCGGCCTTAGCGGACTGCAGGAGATTGAGCGTCTGACGAACAACCCAGTCATTCAGCCGCTTGTCCTCCACTCGGTAAGCAGACCCCTGTCCTTGGCCAACCGTACGCGCGAATGACTCTCGCAGGAGGGTATCATCGCCGTCCTCGGTAGGCTGGACGTTAAGCCCAGTTCGGTAGCAAATCACCGATTTGAACCCCACCACTGCGGGGTCGGCGATCGCCTCGGCGATACGTTGTCGAAAGCCCTCACGGAACTGCTCCCACCGCTCCCGTAGCACCGAGACGTCCCCTTCCTGAGGCCGGGTGTCATCCCGCATCAGGGTGGAAATCGTTTCAGCTGCCAAGGTCTCGATCCGCACAATCCGTTTAGTCTGCGATGTGGTGAAGCGGTCATGCCATTCATAGGATTCAATGTCTTGGTCGGTGAGGAGATCGTCGAGTAGCAACGTATGCGTGCCCTGCAGACACGCGCGAATCAGACCATCGTAGTCGCGCTGTACCCATGCGTCGCGTGCCGCCTTGACCTGGTCCCAGTCGGAGGAGGCACAGCGGTACAGCGCGGCGAGCTGTGTGGCAGCGCGGTGTAATGGTAGTGTAGCCGGGGCATTGCGCAGGGCGGATCCTTGAGCTTCTGAAGTGATCTGTTCAAAGGGATACTTGGCGTAGTTGCAGGCCTCGTCACGCTTCAAGAGGTTATGGGCATGGTTATCAATGAGGGGGTGTGTTTGAATCACGGATTGGAGGGAAGTAAGATCCATGGTTGATTAAGGACAAATTGATTATTATGATTAGGTAGAGTTTAGAGAGGGAAAAGAGTCGCAATTATAAGATAAATGATAGTATGATCATCACAGAGTACGTTTTGGAAATTGGAAAATGAAGTTGTATGACAGGCAGAGAAGTTCGACCGGCCAGAAGACCCGAGGAGTATATAAACGACCCAACTCAGGGAGGATCGATCGCACCAGAAACGAGAACACAAAAAAAAAAAGAAAAATAACAAAAATAGAAAATCAAAAAAGCAGTCGATGCTTACCCAAAGAGGCAATTCGTCAGTCTCCGAGTGTCGATCCAAGGTCGTCGAGATGGTCGAAATTGATCGCGATGTCACAATATCGGAGATGTTACCTCAAAAGAAAAGCATGCTTAGTTCAGCATCGGAGGGACGAGAGAGACTGCAAGTCCTGGCATGATTGGCAGAGACACTCGTCCTGTCACTGTCACAGGGGCAGGCACCAATCCATGCCAATCCCAAGGCGGAAGACTCGACGAAGAATCAATAAATCCTGGAGAGAGAACGAAGGATAGAAAAAGCAGGGAGTGGATGAAAAAGCAGATCAACCCAAATCCATCGATGATCACTGGATAGCTCGTGCACTATACCGCATGCGGTAATCTCTACGAGCAACGGCAACTTCCAAAGCGGTTAAGTGCCGACTTTTTTGCCCAGTTGGATCACACTAACTAAACTTAGATGCTCCTCGGATCCGCTAGACTCCATCAGGTAATTAGTGCCTGTTCGGAGCTGGACTCCGACCAACATGAGAATCATTGATCATAATTTATGCCTGAGGTCCGTGCCTTTCACGACAATTGATTAAATTAGTACTCCGGACTTATATTCCTGCATGACAGTTTCTCGATTAGACTACCTAGAGCAGTTAATTCATTCGGTTGAATCCGTCCCCAAAAGGACACCTAATCTGCATTGCACGCTGAATCCCCCTTGGTGATGCCTACTAATACTGTCCCTCAATGGTCAGCGTTCCCGTCTTCGTCACCAGATACTCATTCACGGCAACCTCCTTCCCACTTTCTTTGCCATACCCGGACTCCTTGATGCCTCCAAAGGGAGACTCCGCAGCGGAGGAGTTGCCCGTATTCATCCCGATCATGCCGGCGTCTAGATTCTCGAGTAACCTCCACATGCGATCAATATTTTTCGTGAACGCGTAACTCGCCAGTCCCATGCTCGTGTCATTGGCCAGCTGCACTGCCTCTTCCTCCGTTTCAAATTTATAGAGGGCAGCGATAGGCGCAAAGGTCTCCTCCCGGGACACCAACATGTCCTTGGTCATGCCCGTCAGGATCGTGGGCTCAAAGAAATACCCCTGGGTCCCCGTGACCTTATTCCCTCCCAGAATCACGTCCGCCCCAAGTCGACGGGCATCGTCGACCTGGCTGAGCGCCTTGTCAATGCTCCGCGGAGTGGTCACGGGGCCCATGGTCGTGTCCTCTTTGGCACCATGGCCGACGACCAACTTCTGCGTACGCTCCTTGAGCAACTGCGCAAAGCGATCATAGATGCCCGCCTGGACATACACGCGGTTGGCGGTGATACACGCCTGTCCCGCATGCCGCCACTTCAACGCCATGAGCTGATCCAACGCCTGGTCCAGATTAGCATCATCGAATACCAGGAACGGACAGTTCCCGCCCAGCTCTAACGTCAACTTCTTCAGGCCATGCGCACAGTGCGACGCAATCAATTTCCCGACCCGCGTCGAGCCTGTGAACGTCACCTTCTTCACCAATGGATGCTTACACAACGCCTCACTCAACGGCGGCGTATTCTCCAGATCCGTCGTCAACACATTAAACACGCCCGCCGGGAAACCCGCTTGCTGCGCGAGATGCGCCAACACCAGCGCTGACAGCGGTGTCTCGGGACTTGGCTTCACGATCATCGTGCAACCCGCCGCGAACGCCGCACCGGCCTTGCGCAGGACCATCGCGATGGGGAAGTTCCAGGGCACTAAGGCGGCCGCCACGCCAATGGGCTGCTTGACCGTGAACACCCGGCGATTCGGCGCCGAGGGGACGCTGATGCTGCCGTGGATGCGCTCGGCTTCACCGGCGAACCACCAGGTGAACCCGGTCGCGTAGTCGATTTCTCCGTAGGACTCGGCCAGCGGCTTACCCGTCTCGTGCGTGAGGATCTTGGCGAGGTCGGGCTTGGCTTCCCGGATGAGCGCGTCCCATTTCAAGAGCCATTGCGCTCGCTGGCGGGGGTTACTTTTCTTGTATTGCTCGAAGGCGGCGTGCGCGGTTTCTACCGCTGATGGAACGTCCTCAGCGCCGTTGGTCGGACAACTGGCCCATGCAATGTCGGTGCCGGGGTCTTCACAGAAAGAGATAGTTAATAGCTATAGCCGCGTAGCTACGTAGGCTTTGTGATCAGGTACTGTACCGACGACCTCAAAGCGTTTTCCACTCTTCGACTGAACCCAGCTGTTCCCGACGAAGGCGTCAAAGTGGAGCAGACTCGGGTCGTTCAACTATCAGCAGTCGTGCATTAGTTGGGATCCGATCGCGTACAAGGAGATTCCATACCTCGAACGGCAATTGATACTGTGTCGCCATGATGAAATCCTATGTCTGTGCGGTGGACCCTGTCGATTCTGTGGCTCCAGAGAAATGAATAAATACTGAAGGGAAAGAAAGGTAAGTCGACAGCTTTGCGACTCTCATCAAAATTTATAAGCATTTGAGTTTCTGTCAAAAACCCCGCAGCCCAACAACCCCTCATTGGATTTGCCCTTCCCTCGGCACTGGCTTCAATCACACCTCCATCCAATATCAAAATCAATTTATGAACCCATGAAATTAGATGATAGGACTTCGTATTCATACCGTCAATATATAGTCATCGTGCCAAATGATATTAATATAGGAAAATCTAAAGTTATACTGACCTATCCAAATCACTCCTGGTATATATATACTCCTACACCTCCACTCATATAATAGACTAGAACAGCCGGTTCAAAGTGGCCACAATAAATAGTTGAGAAGCTCTTAGTCAACCCAACTACATGGACCCGGCGTCCTATCTTGACTATAACTTGAAAAACCTGACTGACAGTCCTGAGACTGATTTATCGTGGTCAACCTCAAGGCAGGGAGAGATGCGTGATTCTAATATCAAGGGCCCCTCAGCAACAGCTGGTACCCTCGGTTCAACTGAAGGAGGAGTCACTGCCAGCTATGGTTGAGGTCCAGTACCCTGACCGAAGCCCCCTGGGAAGTGCAAGCACCTTCAGTAGCTCTGCTGCTGCCGAAAAAAACCAGTAGATGGGCTCCAACCTTTTCTAAACGCACAGTCGCTAGTACTTTCTCAAAAGAGGGGGGTAACATCTTCCCATGGCTGTTGATGACCGTTTCAATTCTTGGGTTTTCAGGGTTTATGTTGGCTAAGGTAAGATCCCACTGAGCCTAGATAAAGCATGCATATCGTTTGATTCTTTCCCTAACTTCTCAAGGCCCTAGCGAATTCATATCTGGACGTATTTATACCACGTCCTCTGCTGCATTTCGAGCTTCGCAAAGTTTGTTTCATAAAGTGCTCTTTTCGGTGCTCCACTTGCTTCTTCCCTGGCATGACAACGCGCCTGTAGGATACGTCCTTAGTCGATTTTCCACTGATGTCAACATTTTGGATGCTCAAGTCGGAGGCGATCGTTTCGCTACACTCAAACACTCGATGGAAATGGCTGCAGCATTGATTGCTGGCACCATCGCGAATCCATACCTCCTTATTATCACTGCAACCCTCCTGACGATGTACCTCTGGTGTGCTCGCCGGTTGAAAACCATCGCCGATCCAGGTATGGTGCTTGTCATGGATAACGGGATGATCGTCGAATCGGGCAGTCCGAAGGAGTGATGCTACCGTGATCAGTCATGTTTTCAGAGCATGGTGTACCAGGACCCGGAGCGGAAGATGCTGGAAAATATCATCTTGAATGGGAATGCAGTCGCATGATCTAACTCTGTCAGTCTGGAGTGCTCAGGTAGGTAAACTGAAGATTTCTTGTACAATGGATTTGTTACCACAGCGCTACGAGACATGTATATTAGATCAATCTAATAATCGATAGAAGTACAGCTGTACTTAAAGTTCCCTGTAACCAGTAGACTGCGAAGCAGAGGACCTTTCGTTCCGAGTTAGTGATATAGTAAGATATCCTATACCTTTATTATAGACCGACGTCGGCTGGCGCAATTTGCCAACTGCATGACAAAAGTAGGAGACTTCCGGTGTGCATACCTGTCTTCTAAGCTCACAAATGGCTTCCTATCATACGCACTGGCTGGTGGGATCACGTGGTTAGCGACTCAAACAGATCACATCTTGGTCTTCTAACGGACCATTTTCTGAGGCTATGTCTGAACTTCTACGGTGAAGAGAAGGCACATAATTGGAGTGATAGACGAGCCATGAGAACTCGAAGACGGACAGACAACAGATGTAGTACCTTTTTCGAATAGGTTCAACTTCCTCGGCTTCTCGCCCATGGAACCCGAAATCTTTACACTAAGTGGAGACCGTATCCAAGATTGCATGGTCCTTGAATCCTTCCGATGTGGGTCGATGTAATCTCTGTCAGCATTGCTTTGCTAGGGTTTTCTATTGGAAGTAGAAAGGTCTGACGCTCACCAATAATAATCTAGTCAAGTTACCTTTTTAGGGCATCGGCTATCCAGCCGTCATCTTCTCATATAATGAAGGCTCCATATGAGCATCTAACAATGTAGCTAGACACAGCTATTCACAAGCTATTGGCTGTACCCCCGAAGCCAGGCTAACACGCTTCTCAAGCCATTCGCCGCTAGCACCGACCGTTCGGCCGGGGTGCTCAATGTAGTCTAGACACCCACAATCTAGGCTTCATCGCAAAATGTATAATATCCCATAGGTCTCTCTCGCTTGCCCCATCGACTTTTCCGTTAAACCCCCAGGTATAGTTCGTCTACCACCCAGCCGTGTGCTGGTGCCGTCATAATGGCTCCTACGTTGTCCTCCACAAAGATCGTCCTTGCGTGTTTTGCCCTCTTGACTCCTTCTCTGGCCGCGCCATCTCCCTCCGTACCGGCTGAAACTGCAGTTCCCTCTTCAAAGACCGCTGCAGGGGCTCCCTTGTTCCATAGCGAGACACTTCAGCTGACAAATGGTGTGCTCAACAAACTCAACCTCCGGAACAGCGCAAGTCTCTTTGCTTTCGGTAGCAATTCTAGCTCATCCAACTTGGGCTTGAGCGACAGCGGCGCCTGCAAGGTCTTTCCCGGTGGCTCGGAGTGGCCGTCCACTTCCACCTGGTCGCTCTTCGACCGCCTTCTCGGTGGTGCTTTGATTGAAACGGTTCCTTTGGCATCATCCTGTTATTCATCATGGCCGGAATACGACCGCGACCAGTGCAAGGTTGTCTCGAATAATTGGACGGATTCCAACCTCCAGTGCGTACTTGTATGAATTGTAGATTGGTCTTCCTCCACTTACTAAATGACTAGCGCTGCCAACCCGGCCTCCATTATGTGGCCGTTGTATGAGGGCCGAACGTGTCTACCCACTAATAACGCATCCGGTACCTGCACCGTGGGCGGCTACAGCAAGTATGCCGTCAATGTAAGCTCGGTCGCTCAAATCCAGTTGGCTGTTAACTTTGCTCGTAACACTGGCATCCGCCTGGTTGTCAAGAATACTGGCCATGACTTCAATGGCAAGTCTACCGGTGCCGGAGCTCTCGGCATCTGGACCCATAACCTCAAGGATATTCAGTATTATGAGGGCTACCAAGGCCACGGGTACAGTGGCCCTGCTGTGAAGATGGGTGCCGGTGTCCAGGCCACTGAGATCTATGCGAAGGCTAAGGAGCTAGGCTTCACTGCGGTGGGTGGTGAAGGCAAGACGGTGGGTGTCGCGGGCGGTTACGTCCTTGGGGGTGGTCACTCGCCCATGTCAAGTATCTACGGCTTGGCTGCGGACCAAGTGCTCGCTCTGGAGGTTGTCCTCGCCAATGGGCGCTTTGTGACCGTAACGGAAGAAACCGATCCGGATCTCTTCTGGGCTCTCCGTGGTGGTGGTGGCAGTACGTAGTGATTCCTGGTCTTTCCTTTGCATCCTAAGCGAATCAAGTGCTAACAACTCAGACACCTACGGTATTGTCACCTCGATCATCTCTCGTGTGCACCCCAAGGTTGCCGTAACAACATCAACCTTCAACTTCTCCACTGGTGGCAACGTCACTGTCGACACCTTCTGGGCCGGCGTCCGCGCCTACTTGGATCGGTTCGCCATCAATGCTGACGCTGGCACCTACGCCTACTTCTGGGTGATGTCCACGGGAACTAACTCATTCTCGTTCCTCATGAACCCCTACTTTGCGGTCAACCACACCGTTTCTGAGTTCAATGCCTTGATGAAGCCCTGGTTCGACGAGCTCGACCATTTGGGCATCCCATATACTCCCGACACGAAGTATCATGACAACTTCTACGACGCCTGGGACGCTGTCTTTCCTCTCGAGACCGTCGCCTCCTCGACGATGGTGACCGGTTCACGTCTGTTTCCCCGTGCCAATTGGGAAGACACCAGTCTTCTGAATAAGACTTTCGACGCGCTCAAGACTACCGTAACTGCCGGATACCCCCTACTTGCCTTCAACATGAAGGCCGAACTGCCCGAGGGCTACCCAGAGAGCTCAGCTAACCCAGCCTTCCGCAAGACGCTCATGCACGCCATTACCTCGGCGAGCTGGACTGCTAACTCGACAAACACCCAGATCCTCAACCAAATGGAGCATTTTGCCAATGACGTCCTCGGTATCTGGCGCAGGACCTGCCCCGAGGCGGGTGCCTACATGTCGGAAGCGAACATTCTGGAGCCAGACTTCCAACAGTCGTTTTACGGCTCGAACTATGAGCGCCTGTACCAGCTGAAGCAAAAGTACGACCCCTCCGGGTTATTCTATGCCCCGACCGGAGTTGGTAGTGAGGACTGGACGGTGAAGAGCCAGGATAGTCTTCCCGACCAGAACGGACGGTTGTGCCGTATCTGATCGACTCATTTGTCGTCATACATGTAATTCTTGAGAAGCCCGTTTCATATCATGTACACCAAGGGACGATACATCCTACACCCAATATGATCCACATGGACATACTCAATCGGTTTAGAGTAAAATGACAGTTCAAAAATATACCCTCGATTCCAGCCTTGCCAGCCTCTCCGCTCTAGTCATCTTCCCACTGTCTAATTCTAAGTTCGATTCCCTTCCCCCTGTGTCCGGTCCATTCCGGGCCTCAGCCAACGCTCCCTTCTCACTCTCTTGCCCAAAGCCACCAGAAGAGCCACCCCCATCTTCGATCTCTACCCCCCAAGCCCTTTTCTTTACCCCCCACCATCTTTCCAACTCTCCTCCAGCTGTCAACGGCAACGCCTGCCACTCAGCCATATTTTCCGTCCGACTTCCCCTCGACGCAGCCACCGCATCAACAGGAACAGGAAGAGTGCCCTCCGGTATGTGGGATTGCCCCTGTGGTTGCACAGGACTCCCAGCCCGTATTTGGGAATACACGGAGAACAGAGCCGCTTCTGTGGCGGCGAGACGATGCTCAAGATGGGTTATGTACCCTTGCGGAAGACCTCTAGTACTCATTAGCATAGAACTACAGCACGGTAATGCACGGCATGATGTATATATACGAACCGTTTCCCACTCTCAGGGTATATACATCTGCTCTGCGAGGATGGCGTGGTGGCACATTGTGTGCAGGTCGGACTTGCTTATTAGTTCTAATTTCGGAACATAACGAGTGTTTTTCGCATACAGGAGTCGGTCACACTATCATAATAGGTCAGTAAATATCTCGATTAACATCGAGATTGGTGGAAACTAACTTTGCATTTCTTCTGTCGACATGGTTCGCAGGAGATGGGGTTTTGGGGATGAGCGGTGGCTATGGTGTTTGTAGACATTCTGGCTGGGGTGATTAATTTATTTACTCTGAGGGTATCATGATATGGATTCTGGTGGATATTAATAGTACTATAGATGGCGAGTTGGAGACGTTTAAGTTGGAGGCAAACGTGAAATGTATGCCGCACGAAGAAAGTCCGGCCGCGTGTGATTGGACAATTGATAGTCTGCCTGAGGTGGTTGGTGCCTGAGGATGAGGTGTATGCCTTGGGCGATCGAGAGGTCACATACTGATAGTAGAACAATGGATTCACTCGTTCAAGCCTCTTTTTGTGGTTTTTTTATATAGCTGGAGTTTCTCCTTTCTCTTAATCATACTTTTTTCTTTTGTATTTCTTATAGTACTTTATCTTATTTTAATATTTTCTTTTTTTATGGTTCGCTGGGGCGGTCATGAGTCTCCACGTGCATGCGTAGCATGGAAAATATATTTCCGGGGTATCTTCCAAGGTTGATCTTGTTAGTACCTCCTTCATTCCCCCAGACGCAGACGATCGTCGTTCTCGAAGACAAGCTCAACGAACCTCTTGTGTGTCATGCGAGTGGAACGAAGAACATACCCACACAGTCTTTACGGCGACATGCATTTGGCGTGAAACGCTGTATGCCAAGGGGTGATTATCATGCTGCACTTGGCAAGCTGTCTCCACCCCCACACAACTCTATCAAGCTCTTCCGGCTACTATCACTTCCCAATCCAATAAGAATTCTGTTTCCCATTGCTGAATCATGGACTCACCGCACCATGATTATCTTACTTCTCCCGCCAAACGGCGCAAACCGAATCCGCCGCGAGAAATCGGCGTGATGAGGAAATCATCCGTGGACAATGGCTCCGCCACGTTCCTCGGCAGCTCAAGCGGCATTCATTTCATCCGCACCGTCTACACCTCATTTGCTCGTCGCTCAGCGCATCTCAGCCAATCCCAGAAGGCACAGGAGAATCTGGTTCCCGGTGAAGATGACCAATTGCTCCAGAGCCCAGGGCATGATGCACTGGCAGTGAAGAACGAGCTGTGGGCACCGCAGGAGCTGGACCACCGGTCTCAGACGGCTTCATTTGAACAGCTTGTGCAATGGACGAGAAGTTACTTCGAATGTTGGCATCCGATGTTTCCGTTCCTCTCCGGTCCCAGGTTCCTTAAGCTCTTGGAGCGGATTAGCCAGGGCGGGTTGGACGGCGTAAAGACCACGGACGTCATCCTCGTCCGGTCCATCATGTCCATTTCTCTCATGGATGGTCGCCAAGTGGATGCTACGAGGCGTACGTATGTGCCCGCAAAGCTGGTCTTTCGTACAGTTGATCAGGCAATGGAAAGCCTGCACACGCTGTTCTGCGACCCGCCTACGATATCCATTCTCCAGGCGGCTTTTAGCGTCGCATTGTTCCTCGCCTCGCTGCTGCGGTTGAATGCTGCCTCGCGAATTGGTGGTGTTATAACGCGCACCGCGTTCCATCTCGGTCTACATCGATGTCCGGCGCGATTCGCTTGTTTTAGTCCTGAAGAAGCTGCAGTCCGACAGCGATTATTCTGGTCGATCTACTGCCTAGAGAGATACCTCTCCCAGTCCCTGGGTATTCCACTGAGCATCCGAGATGACGACATCGACGTGTGTTATCCAGGAATAGAGAGACACGGTGAAGGGATATACGGTAAGTGACAAGCTTTCTGCTGGATTTACAGCACTCGGATCTAACGTTCTAGATCCAAACCTCCGCTTGCTCACTTATCTGGCCAAATTCGCCCGCGTAAGAGGTCTAGTCGTCGAACTCCGCAATAAATCCATCCTTCATAGCCAGGAAACCTCCAACGCCGCGACTCAAGTCAACGGGGAGCTTGCCCACTGGTGGAACGAAGTCTACGATGATGTTTACCCTGTGGAAGAGGACCCCGGAGTGTCGCCTCTTCATCGTCTACTGCTGATCGTTTTCCGCCATGAGTCGATCATCTCGATGAACAGGCCACTCCTGGCGGCCGATCAATCGTCGCCGGAGTACAAGACGGCATTGCAGGTTTGCATTGAGTCATCTAGGTCACTGATCACTGCTCTCAGAGGTTATGTGCTGCCCAGCGGTCAGGGAACGGTGCCGTTGGTATGGCCATCATTCACATGGGCCGTCTGGATGAGCTGTTTGATCCTAGTATATGCAGCGTGGGAAGGAGATTTTCCCGTGCTATCCGCTTCACGGTGAGGGCGAAATATCTCTGAGCTATAAAATGCCAGCCTAACCTCATTGCAATAGATACGCCAAAACCGGCCTCTCCATCCTCCAGAATCTATCTCTGAGGGGAAACACCTGGTCACAGACCTGCATCGAAGCCATTCGCGATCTAGAATCTGCTCTATCCAACCCACCGCCAACGCCCTCGACCGACAACCGACCAGCCAGCCCAGGACCTGCAGAAGACAGAGCCCCGGATTACCCCACTAACATTGCCGAGGACCCCAGGCCAGCTCCGCAATATCACCCTTCGGTTGTATTTGGAGACTCGTCGATCAATAATTTTCCTTTTACATACCCATTTCCAGACCCCGGAGATTTCGAATCCGGGTGGAATGACCTGTGGACCGTCGCGGATGGGCCCTGGTTGATCGAGGAGAACTTCGATCAAAATTTCGGGTTTCAAATTTAACCATACGTTCACATCATAAGTTACACTTGCGCGTAATTACCATCGGGGAACAACATCGGCCGTCACTTCCCCCAAGTTTCCCCGCGATAGACGTACTCTGGAGTACTGCGTATGAGCGGGAAAGGCAATCCGGAGAATGGGCAGGATAGACGAGGCAGCGTGGCAATCCGGACATGTCCACCTCCGGGCCCAGTATACCGGACAGAACAAGTCCGGCGGGGTTCACAAACTCCGTCGCCTCACGCAGAAGATTTTCCAAACATAAATACGAATCAAAGTGTACCAGAAGAACTAAAACTCAAGACAAATTTACCCGAATATCTCACAAACAACATCCTTGTATCACAATTAGGATCAATACACACTGCACCATGAAGACCTACAGCATCGCTTCGATCCCCGCAGATGGCATCGGTCCCGAGGTCATCTCGGCCGGAGTTACTGTTCTTAACGCCTTGGCCGAGAAGCTTAACACTTTCAAGCTTGATTTCACCCACTACGACTGGAGTTCGGAAACATACAAAACTACTGGGAAATATATTCCCGACGGAGGACTGGAAGACCTGAAGCGTCATGATGCGATTTTGTTTGGAGCTGTAGGAGCCCCTGGTAAGTACAGAGAGAAAAAACAAAAAAAAAAAAGGAAGAAAGGAAAAGAAAGAAATACAGCGCCGCCATGTCCGGGATCGACCTAGCCCGCATATGCAATACTACAATAGTATGTTACGACGATTACTAATGTAAATACCGACAGATGTTCCCGATCACATTTCCCTTTGGGGTCTCCGTCTTTCGATCTGTCAGCCCTTGCAGCAGTACGCGAATGTGCGACCTACACGGGTCCTCCGGGGCACACAATCACCGCTTCGGAACTGCCCCCCTGGGAAGTTGGACTGGGTGATTGTTCGTGAGAACAGTGAGGGCGAGTATGCCGGGCAGGGGGGTCGATCCCACCGCGGTCACCCCTGGGAAGTAGCGACTGAGACAGCGATTTTTAGCCGGCACGGTGTTGAGCGAATCATGCGGTTCGCATTTCAGACGGCGGCCAAGCGGCCACGGAAGTTACTGACCGTGGTCACTAAGAGCAATGCCCAGCGCAATGGTATGGTCCTTTGGGATGAGGTTGCGACCGAAGTGGGGAAGGAGTTCCCAGAAGTGCAGGTGGACAAGATGTTGGTGGACGCGATGACTACAAGGATGGTGTTGAAGCCAGAGACAGTGGATACGATTGTTGCCAGTAATTTGGTGCGTTTGACTTTCCCTTTTTTTTTATCCAATTCTTTCGCGTTCCTTGCCCTACCCGAGGATACTCCAGGGGGGGATGGTGGGCGCTGATAAAAGGATTTTTTTCCCTGGACGCTTGGCTTTGAGGGGGCCGGATTGATATTACCTTATTGAATTATGGTTTGGGGATGGGCTGATGCTGATCAATCGGGACCTCTAGCATGCGGACATTCTCTCCGACCTCGCAGCTGCTCTCGCCGGTTCGATAGGTATTGCACCGACCTCCAACTTGGACCCCACCCGACAGCACCCAAGCATGTTTGAGCCGATTCACGGCTCAGCATTCGATATCACCGGGAAAGGCATTGCTAATCCCGTGGCCACCTTCTGGACCGCGGCCGAGATGTTAGCGTGGTTGGGCGAGGAGACGGCGGCTCAGAAACTGATGGAGTGTGTGGAGAACGTGTGTGAGAAAGGAACCTTGACCGCAGACCTGGGAGGTAAAGCCACGACCAAGGAAGTCACCGAAGCCATGGTGGGGGAGATCCAGCGACTGTAAGAAATGGTACACTAAGTTAAGACTCATTGTGTTAGAGTTTTTTTTCTTCAATTGTTTAAAAATTTAAAAATTTAAAAAATTTTAAGTTTCGATTTTTCTCTCTTGGAGGGTACGGAGTATATCCTACGGGGTTACAATGGTCCGGGACAAGAAAAGGACAAGAAAAACGTGGAGGTAGATCGCTGCTTGTTTTCTGGGGGGGAAGAAGCTTCTTTTCCTCCGGGATATTCTCGCCGCGCAACTAAATCAGTAATACCGATCGCTAGCCCTTATTAACCGGCATAGTTTCGGACCATCCTTCTCCAGATTTTTATACATACTCCGTCCAACGCGGCATTTCTCAGCATTGAGTTCAACCGAAGAACAGCCCTGAATTTCTTAGCTTGCGACGGCGAATGACCGTCCCTGTGATAATTGATTAGGTCGCCCGCTCGGTCACGGTCCGAAAAGTGGATCGGTATGACGCTCAACTGAGATATGGAACCTTTTGTGTGTTAACACGGCTCAGTTGGGGGGGGGGCCCACTGGTTTTACAGGTACACTCCCACGCCCCTAGCCCACTTCAGTAGTTTTCTGTGTTCATTCTCTTTCGGTGAGGATAGTAAATTGCTACTAAGATGCGGGGTCTCCACGTAGAAATCTGT